ATTGGGTTTTAATTATTAGATGATAACTAAGCTTAAGTAAAGCTTAAATCATCTTAAAAGCAAATGATGGTGGAGTTAGGAGAGATTAAAGATTTAAAGTTTACAAATGAAATCTTGGAATAAAGTTCATTTCTTAAATTGGAAGTTAAATTTGACTTGTCAATGGTTAAATTAAGAAGTATAAAGTGTTAGAATTGGAATTAGAACACATTGAAAATTTAGTATGATTCTTGAATGCCATGTAAATGATTGAATTTTGGGTTTAAAGAAGTGATTATGGAATAGAGATGAGTTTAAATATGTGTATGGAAGTTAGGAATATTAAAGGAAGTAAAATATGAAGGTTTAAACTGAAATGAAGTGAATTTCGAGCTCAAAATAAGATTTCTGGGCTAGGGGAATCGATACCCATTCAAGGGAAATCGATACCCCATCAAACGAACATGGAATTCCAGAATGCCAGAGGGGAACCGATACCCCCACAGGAGGGAACCGATTCCCCCTAAAGGAAAAATGCGAATATTGGTTTAATAAGTTTGTTTAAGTTGCTAGTATCCAATTACAAGGTGTAGGTATCTAATGATTGCCTCAAAATGTACATTTATGTAGATTCTGCGCGTAAAGTAATTCCGGAACATTTGACAAGTAAGATCGATCAAGGGAAAGATAAGAGATTGGAATTGACTAGTGAGACCAAGGTGAGTGCATACTAGTGATATGTAGTGTTTAATGGAAATAAGACTTGCGATGAGTTTATTTCCTAGAGTAATATGCATGAAGACATGGACATGATTATGTGTTGTTATAATTATATGTGATTATCTGTATTACATTGATTGTATGTATGCATGACTAAAGATAATGATATGCTTTGTATATGTTATGTGAGATATGAATATAAAATCATATGAGAAGTGAAAAGAATTACATGAAAATAGACTAAGTGATTACATGTATATGTGAAAAAAGCTATATGATACGATCTATGTGATTACATGCAACATATGATATTAGATATATGTTTACACATACATGTGGTATGTGACAGAAGAGAAGGAACATGTGATTATGAGATCAATGATTACACGTACATGTGATACGTGACTGAAATGAAAAGATATGTGTTTATAAGAGAAAGAATATGAATAAATAATGTGAACTGTTATAAATGATAATGCCCATGTTATGTGATATGAGAGCTAGGGGTATAGTTGGCATGCCAAGGGTCGAGGGTTTACCTATGTTCTTCGGGACATATGGACTGTTTACCTATGTTCTTCGGGACATATGGACTGTTTACCTATGTTCTTCGGGACATATGGACTGATTACCTAGGTTCTTCGGAATCTATGGACTGGTCCTTCGGGACATTGATCGAGCTGTGGTGACAGCATATGTGTGCACAACCTCAATGTACTCACATACCTTAAGTTCTCACTAGTGTACATGGGCTAATAAAGTGATTAAACAAGCATACTGAATGTGATATGTATACGATGGGTTTATAAATGGTTATCAAAGGTAAGTGGTTTGAAATGTGTTACATGAACCATATGATGTTATGTGTGTTTCTTAATGATAATGATGGTATATGTTTATGTATGATTTATATTATATGAAATATTATATGTTTTATATGCCTCACTAAGTCAACGACTTAGCGTGTGATTGTTTCACACGTAGGTTTCGAGAAGAGTAAAGAGTAATGCGGAGCAAGACAGGTCAGTTCTCCTTACTAAATGTCAGATCAAAAAATATATGTACTGTATATAGAGTGTAGTTGACATGTAGTCTAAAGATATAAATATTATGAACTCTGATATATTTTGTAAACGTTTTGAATAAGTTAAATGTTATCAAAGTTTTTAAATTACTCACTATTTTATACTAATAAATGTTTGAAAAGTCAATGTGACACTTCGGACTCGTATCCGAATCTGATACGGGTTGGGGGTGTTACAGTATAGTACTGAGGACCACTTGCTTCATCTTTTATATATATATAGTGTCTGACGCTGGATAAGATACAATATGAAGAAAAAGAAAAGCGTGTTTCAATCGAAGTGTTCTTATCTTACCAACAGATAAAACTTTAGTTCACTAAGATTCTAAGATAAAATCTACCGACAAGGAAAAACGCATTCCAGGGGATGCATTTTTCCATTATTATTCAGAGAATCTTGAATTATAATAGTGATTAATCTCATCTGAAATGAAAGGCGTGTTTCGAGAGAAGTGTTTTCCATTATTATTTAGGTAATCTTTGTCATGTCAGAGTGTTTCATCCCATCCAAAATGAAAGGCATGTTTCAATGAAAGCTTTTTCCATTATTATTTAGCGAATCTCTGGCATGTCCAAGTGTTCCATCACATCCGAAATGAAAAGCGTGTTTTGGGGAAAGTATTTTCCATTATTATTCAAAGAATATTTACCATGTCAGAGTGTTCCATCCCATTTGAAATGAAAGGCGTGCTTCAGGGAAAGTATTTTCCATTATTATTCAGATAATATTTGCCATGTCAGAGTGTTCTATCCCATTTGAAATAAAAGGCATGCTTCGGGGAAAACGATTTCCATTATTATTCAGAGAATCTCTGCCATGTCAGAGTGTTCTATCACATCCGAAATGAAATGTGCATTTTGGAGAAAGTGTTTTCCATTATTATTCAGAGAATTTCTGCCACTTCACATAATTAACATGAATCGTTCCCCGACCCTAAATATTTTAAACTCTTAAATTCTAAAACTCAGTAACTCTAAACTCTCAAACGTTCAAAACTTCAAACTTCAAAACGCTCAAACTACGAAAATGAATCATATTTTAGCTGTTGTTTACTATGATGAAGAAATTGGGGAAGAATAATACGGGGTTGTTTTCCGATTAGATCATTATATTTTTCTATTCTTTAGGAGAAACATTACTTTTCACGATTTAATCACAAAAATCTCAAGGAATGCTTGTGTTGAAAACAGTTAAAGACTGGTTACACTTCAGTACAAATTTTAAATTGAATTTTTTCCTTATCATATACATCGTTCAATCTCTCAAACGACAATGATGTTACTATGATGGTTGATGCTTTCAATCAAAATTCGAACTATATTACATAAATGTATGACACTTTTGTTGATGTGTATGCAGTTCGGGGTATGTTATTCTCCTTCTACTATGGATTGCATGAACCTATTGATCAAATTGATAGTCCAATTCAAACAATATGTAATGATTTCACGTCATTAATGGCTAACCCACCTGATGTTAGCATTTCATGAAGTTCTAGGGGAAGGCATTCAATTGCCACTTTTTCTGACCTCAACATGGAAATGCCTTCCAATTTCAGGGAAGACATTCATCTGCCAACACCTTCGACCTCGATATGGCCATGTATTTCACACAACACTCAATCCATAACTCATATGGTGATATCCCTTCAAGTTCTAAAGGAAGGCATTCATATATGAACTTCTTATAACAAAACATCGAAGTCATAGAAGAATTATCATATTCTTCAGAAGAACCTCTTCATGAGCCAGGAGCAGATGGTGTTGAAACTAGATTATTCGTTGAACCTGAGTCACCGTAATTCAACATGGACTCTAATGATGATGTGGATAAAGTTCCTACAAATACGGTACAATACGAATCTCCAACAAACATGTATGAAACTGACTATGATGCGATGTACGGGCCATAATTTCTCAATATGCCTCATCTTAGAGACTATGAGAGGTATTCATCAATTAATGATGGTGTTTTATATCATAGAATGGATTTCACATCTAAAGAAGAAGCAATTATGCAATTAAGAATTATAATATTCATAATTCAGTTCACTCCAGAGTCGACTGATCTACTACTGAAAATTATGTCTGTTATTGTGTCTAACGTGATAACGATTTCATCTAGATGGTTCGTATTTCAAAGAGAAAGAAGACCAACATATGGGAACTATCAAAATACATCGACCCTCTACATGTTGTGCGTAGGGGATTAACGAGGACCATTGAAACTTGGACTCCAACGTCATTTGCCAAGCCATCATGCACTTGGTTAAAGTAAGCACCCACGTACCTATTGTAGTGTTGATTTCTATAATACAATCTCAATATGGGTACACTATCTCCTACAAAAAATGTGGAAAGAAAAACATAATATCATTATAAAACTAGATGATTAATGAAATTCATCTTACAACGAACTACCCAATTGGTTTAATCTGATTCAACGACTTAATCCTGAGACAGTAGTTGAGTTCGAAACTTGCCATGCCTACCACAATGATTGAGTTCTTTAAGATCGCTGCCAATTTCACCGTGTTTTTTGACTTACCCACAATGCATTAATGTAGTCAAATATTATAAACTCATTCTCCAAAATAATGGTACATTATTGTATGGGAAATACAAGCAAGTTTTATTATTGGCAGTTGTCCAAGACGGTAATCGCAACATTCTTCCCATTACCTTTGCCCTTGTTGAAGGAAAATATACGAAGTCTTGGGCTTTTTTCCTAAGAAATCTACGGCTACGTGTCATCACCCGGTACCATATTTGTATAATTTCATATCGAGGAGCTGGGATCAAAGTAGCAATGGACTCTTTGGGTCCAATGTGGAAACCCCCAAACATCCAACATCGTCTCTGGATTCCACATATTACTGTAAACTATCATGGGAGATATAAGAAGAATGATGAACGACAATTAATTATATGCATGGGTATGTTACATTTTTCCCAATTTCATTTCACTCATTTTCATTTTTTTATGCTAACTACTTCATTTTGCTTAGGTTACGAACTCTCACCTCAAATGTTTTAGGATATGCTTCATGAATTGCGAGGAAAAAAATAACATGGATACAATTACATTAACGAAATCAGCAAAGAAAAGTGGACAAACGCATACGATAGTGGATATCGATATGGATATATGAAAACCAACTTGGCTGAGATAATCAATTCAACCTTAAAGGGGCCCGTCATTTACCAGTGACTGCTTTGGCTAAAACAATGTATTTCCGTTTGGGTCAACTTTTTGTCAAGCTCGGGGGACAAGCTCTTGCTTGGATACAAAACGCTCATGTTTATTACCCACGATTAGTAGCAGATCTATAACAAAAGGTTGCAACATCAAACAACATATCTGTAATAAGTTTTCCTCGCACCCAAGAATTATTTCGGGTTATAGAAATGCCACGACCCGTGCAAGGGATTGAATCTAACTCTTTCAGAGTTAATCTAAGGGAAAGATGTTGTGATTGTGGGTTTTTCCGAGCTTTGAAGTATACATGCTCCCATGTCATAGCAGCTTGCTCATTTTCATCAAGACTATAAGCGTTATGTCTATCCTGTATACCAACTTTCTGAAGTATTAAAGGTATATGAATATGATTTCCCCCCATAGATAATGAAAAAGAACCAAATAAAGTTCAGACTTGGATTCCAATTATACTGAATCCAAACTTATTAAGGGAGTCAGGTCATCCAAAATTCACTCAAATTCATTGTGATATGGATATTCAAGAGATGTCAAGACAATACTTATATAATCATATCATCTTATGTTTCAATTTATGTTATTACATTTCCTTTTAGTTTCGATTAATGTGATTTCAGCTTTTTTATTTCTTATGTCTATGTATTTCTTACAATCTAATATACAACTAAAAACACAAACATTCTAACATACAACCAATTTTAAACTTATTTAAAAATTCTAAACCATACAAATATAACCTAAACCACTAATCAAAACCTTAAAATCGTCTTAAACTAAAACCCTAAATCTAAAACTACTGATCAAAGGAGGCGCGTGCCGCGCCATTCAAAGAAGACACGTTTCCTAGGACGCAACTTAGGTGGGAGGCATATTTCATGCGATACGCTTTCTCCTTCCACCACCAATCGTGTATTCCGTGTACATCATCTCATTCTCTCTCTTGAAAAAGAGTGTTATATCGAAAAATAATTAGAAATAGATATATGGTAGGTGAATTTTTTAAGGAATGTAATTTTTTTTTTTTTGGTAAAAAGAGTATCTCGGATCTTTTTTACTTTTATCGTCTGAGTTCTAATAAAAGGGTTTAGGGAAAAAATCATCTTTGAATTTTTGATTGGATTGAGGGGGGAAAAGATGATGAGAAGAGAACAGGAAAGCCATCGACATCAGGATCAGCAATCCAGGGTATTCTACGAGCTGTCGATTTTGGTTATGAATCTTATACGGTCGCCGCCGGTTCCTTTCACCGATCAATCTTCGGTGTCGGAGAGGAGGTCTAATATTCTAGATGTATCGACGATATCTCCGGCGGGATTCGTTTGGCTGATGCTGGTCATATCGGTTGCGATGATGCTGTGTGGATCGGTCACTTTCTTTATAGGGTTCATGTTGATGCCTTGGGTTGTTGGTTTGTTAATGGTGTTTTACGTTGCTGGGATTGTTTCCGTCATTTCCCTGTTGGGTCGTTCTATTGTTCGCATCGCCTTGGCCCCTCTTTCACCTCGAAAACATATTCCTGGTAATTGTTTTTTTTTCTTCCTTTTCTTCATTGGGATTTGATAACTAGGGAGGAAAAATCATATCCTGTTCTAGATTATCTAGTTTGATTTCTTCAATTCCATAATAGTAGTGTCAATATGCTATAGGAACTGTGATGGTCGATTGAATGCTGAATGAAAAATGTTTATATTGTTTATCAGAGTACTAAATAGATCGTTGTGGATTGAATCTCATTTTCCCCGAGTTATCAATGCATATGATCTGTTCAACTTTCTGCTGAAATCTAGCATTAGATGACGATGATGGTGTTTTTTGTTTATCAAACTTGAAGCAGACTGGCTGCATTGAGCTTGTGGTTGAATAAGTCTAACCTGTAGCCGGGGTTCATCATGATATCAAATTGTTGACAATATTTTGAACCATAGCTTAATTCTGTATCTGATATGTCTTCTCTTGGTATTGCTTTGTTATTGGTTGTGTTTTGTATTGAATGTATTCAACATTTGCTAGATTGCTGATACACGATTTTGTTTCGAACCAAACTGATTCTTCTATTACAGCATGGTAGATTGTTTGTGAAGAGAAAAGGTGGTGGGGAGGCCTTTGATAGATTAAGAATCGAGCAGCACATTTGGGTTCTAGCAAGTGATGCCATACAGGGTTGGGGGCGGATGAATTTACCAGGCTACTTCGGGTACCGAAACTGGAAAATTCAGACGGCTCTTGATTTGGGATGTTAGCTGAACTAGGTGAATATTTTTATTTTTTTTGAAAGATGAACCAGGTGAATATTGTTTAGCTGAAATAGTGACTTTGTAAATTATTTTTCACCTTACCCGTGTGTATTGTATTCTTATTTACCAGGAAAAAGAAACCATGGGGGAGTGGGTTGATTTCCATATTGTTTTCTTATTGGATTTGTATTGCACAAATGCAGTTAACCAGCACGGATAATGCTTATCCAAACTGGCAAACATGGCATTTGACAATGTCCAAGGACAGGTCAAATAAAGAGGCTTTGCAGTTGCTGTTGCATTTACACTACGCAACTCTTTCATGCTTATCCTAATACTCATCTACATGATGGATGCTTGGTGGTTATGAATATGGACAGCGTAAATGAATATTAGTCTTAGATTTTTCTCAAGGATGAGGCACTTAACAGGTGCTGCGGATGAAACTTGTTCTTAAAGCTTGTTTGACTGATATAATTAACTAGTATATTTGAGACTCATTCTTAAACAGATGAATCCGCTTAAAAATTGTCAAAATCTAAACTTAAAAGCAACTTTTTGACACAAGATTGAAGAGCACCTTTCAAAGGATTCTTTAGAATTCATAGGACGTTCTTCAAATATTTTTTTTATGTTCTTTTAGAGATTTCTTGGGGTCTTGATTAATTGATTTAATCGAATGGTTTGGGGCTTATCTCCTTTTGTATAGGAAGAAGGGTTCAAACTATTGCAGCGGCTAGACCGTGTGATGGTCATGATTTGTTTCAGTGTTGTATAATGGATTTGTGATACTGACCATGGCAGACCTTGTAGCAGCCGCGCTCCGTTCAGCTACACAGCCTCATGAGGGCAAGCTGTTGATGTTCCGATGAGCACATAGCAAAGTTACTGTAGGTCCATCCTGTGATGGTTTTCCCACTTCCTAGAGACACGATTCCTGCAAAATAACGATATATGGTGCCAGCTGAAACTGTCATGACCCATGGAGGAAGTATGTGTTCCACCTTGCCGCGCCGGTAGCATCATAAAAAAAATAATACTCTATCAACATAGTCCGTGCCAGCCGCAGTGGAGGAAGTATGTGTTCCACCTTCCATGACCTTCAATGTCCCTAGCAGAGTTCATGCATTAGATTATCAGAATGCATCACTGGGTGCGAACATTCGAATCATGAAACACGATGCCCCAGGAGCCTTGGATCTTGACCATCCTGGTTCAAATTGAATGCGTAGTTGTAGTCGACGAACGCCTTGGCTACTATGTCTGGATCTTAAAAAAGAACAACCATTAATATGATATCAAAATTGTATATAATTATAAAATGTAACTTTATATTAAAATATAAATAAATATGAGACATGCACGCAAATCGTGAAACTTCCTGGTATGATTGCTCAGCTTCGAATGGTTTCGACACATATCCGTCCATTCCACACCGTAGGCATTCATCATGCGTGGCCCGGATATCATCTGCGGTCATAGCCAAAATTGGTACATGCCAGTTCAAAACATTATTATAAGCTTGGACCGATGAGTGGATACGATTATTGATATTCTGTTCTGAATCCCGAATTCTCTTTGTAGCTTCAAACCTGTAAAATGCCAAGACATCATAAAAGGCAACATCAATGCGAATTAAACCAACAAGAAAATATTATTTTTTTCTCTTATTTTGTAAGGCTTTAAAGCTCACTTCAGCTGCATAAGTTCGTTTTAATGCAATCAGGGGATTACGTACCCATCCATTTCAGGCATTTGAATATCCATGAAACAGGCATCGAACTGGTGAGGTGGGGTAAGCGGTTCAATGGCTTGCATTCCGCTTGAAGCGCTAACCACATCAACTTCGTATTTCTTCAAGGCAGCGGAAGCTACTTTTAGGTTCACATTGTTGTCATCTACAATTAGAATTTTTCTCCCGAGATGAAGATTCCTAAGAGACAGACTTGGTAACTACCCATTACGAGGATTCCCTTTGTTCCCATCATCCATGGCTCGTTGTAGAGATGCCGCTAACATGCTAGCCCTCAAGGGCTTCGGGATGACGGTCAAGTTACAAACACCGGAAGTAGTAGGATTTGCTCGGGAAGAGCTGATAGAATTAGACAAAAGGAATACCTTCGGAGGGTACTATGATCTATTTTCTCCAAGTTATTGATGAAGAAAGACGAACTGTTTGGGTCTCGATTCCAAACCTCCTGTTCAATGAGAACCATGTGTATAACATTACTCCCCTGGCTTATAATAGATAAACCTTGTTTCCAATTGGAAACTACTTCAACATGAATTCCCAGCCGCTGGATATGATATCTCGACACTTTGGCCCGGACAGGTCTAGGATCCACAACTAATGCTCCCATCCCACGAAACTCTGAGGATACTGAGTTGGTCTGGTTGTCGATTCGCTGGCTTTTGTACTCCTTTGAACTAGAGGAGCTGCTAGTGAAAACAGCAGTCAATGTAAAGGTGGAACCAATCTTAGGAATACTAACAAAACCGATTTCTCCTTTCATTAGATTAACCAAACACTTGCTTATGCTTAGTCCAATGCCCGTGCCCCCATGTGTTCGGGAAATAGAAGGGCCAAATTGCATAAAAGGCGTGAAAACTCGAGACTGTGCTTCTATAGGGATTCCTTCTCCTGTATCTTCAACCGATATAATAAGATGAATGCTGTCAGAGAGAGGCTGAATGGATTCTTCTTGACTGAAAGTTCGAAATCCTTTCCAGCTCTGAACTCTATCCGCAATAGGGAAGCCACTCAAGGTATGCTTTGGCGAAGATTCTGTCTCAACTTCTATTAAATCAATTACCTCCTCCATGAGATGAACCGTAACACGGATGTGCCCTTTCTCAGTCAACTGCACAAATAAGTAAACGAGTTCAAGCAACTAAAGCGTAATCCAAACAACCAAACTTAAAGTGAAACATCCACAAGACGGAATTAAATGATTTAGGAAAGCTTTCTTAATTCCCAACAAGCTTTATATAATTAAATGGAAAACCAATCACATACTTTAATCGAGTTTCCCATTAGATTGGTGATTATTTGTCTGAATCTCCCAGGATCACCAATTTGTTGGAAATAAAACACTCACACAAACAACTTTTATTGAAACTCAAACAAATATTACAAGAGTACTCTCACTCAAAAACAAGAACTACAACTCACTCTTATAAGACTTTGCTTCTTCACTCACTTAGAAGCTCTTAATTTTTCTTGATGCTTAAAACTAAAATGGGAAGGGGTATTTATACTACTCAAGAACAATCCTACACCACACAAATAAACTAATTTAAACCATTACAAATTCAACAAATATCTAACTCTCACCTAACTAAATTGATGTAAGCAATGACATCATTAATTAAATGATGTAAGCAATGACATCTTTAATTAAATGATGTAAGTAATGACATCAATTTAGTTTGGGTTTGGGTTTAGGCTCCCATAATGGATCAAGTTTATGATCCAACACCCTCCCTTAAACTTGATCTCGTGACCCCTAGTAGGTTCCTTAATCTTAAGAAGTCTTCGCTGGTCAGTGGCTTGGTAAAAATATCAGCAACTTGATCTTGTGACTTCACATATTCAACTTCCACATCTTTTCTTGCAACACACTCCCTTATATAGTGGTAGCGAATATCAATGTGCTTGCTTCGATCATGGAATACTGGATTCTTCGCTAAGGCAATGGCTGACTTGTTGTCGACACAAACCTTGGTAGGCTCTTCTTGTATCAAACCAATCTCCTTCAATAGATTTCTAAGCCAAATTGCATGACAAACACATGAGGTAGCAGCAACATATTCCGCTTCACAAGTGGACAATGTGACAATCGGTTGTTTCTTTGACATCCATGTGAATGCAATATCTCCCATGAAAAATACGAATCCAGTAGTGCTCCTTCGATTATCTATGTCTCCACCCCAATCACTGTCACTATATCCAACAAGCTTGTAATCATTAGAAACTGAATAGAACAAGCCAAAGTCAATTGTACCTTTCAGATAGCGAAGAATTCTCTTTGCAGCTTTAAAATGGGTGGTTGTTGGGGATTCCATGTAGCGACTAACCAATCCAACTGCGTGAAGAATATCGGGTCTCGTGCAAGTTAGATAGCGTAGACTTCCTACCAAACTTTTGAAGAATGTTGGATCTACACTTTCGCCTTCTTCATGTTTGGTCATCTTGATCCCGTATTCTGCCGGTGTGCTTATTGGCTTACAGTTCTCCATCTTGAACTTCTTCAGTATCTCATTTGCATAGCTTTCCTGTGAAATGAAAATTCCATCATTTTGTTGCTTAACTTCAATGCCAAGGTAGTACGCCATGAGCCCCATGTCTGTCATCTCGAATTCTTTCATCATCACATCCTTGAATTCATTAAACATGCTTGGGTTGCTTCCAGTGAAGATCAAATCGTCCACGTAGAGGCACACGATCAAAATATCTTCATCTTTGATCTTGATATATAGAGCATGCTCGTAGGGACATTTGTTGAAACCATTCTCTTGGAAGTACTTGTCGATTCGGCTATTTCATGCCCTTGGTGCTTGTTTTAGTCCGTAAAGAGCCTTCTTCAACTTCAACACCTTGTCTTCATGCCCTTTGACTTCATAGCCTGATGGTTGCTGAATGTAAAGTTCCTCTTCAAGAACTCCATTTAGGAAGGCGGACTTTACATCCATCTGTTGTATCTTCCACTTGTTTTGAGCTGCCAAAGAAATGATTAGTCTGATAGTCTCCAATCGAGCAACAGGAGCAAATACCTCATCATAGTCAATTTCAGCCTTTTGACTATAGCCTTTAGCAACTAGCCTCGCCTTGTGCCTTTCAATCTCTCCTTTGGCATTTTGCTTTGTTTTGTACACCCATTTGACACCTATCGCCTTATGTCCCTTGGGAAGTGAGGTAAGTTCCCATGTGTCATTCTTCTCGATGGCCTTGATTTCTTCGTCCATCGCATCTCTCCATTTCTTTTCTTGTACCGCTTCTTGAAAGCTCACTGGTTCACAATCGGCAAACAAACAAAATAATGTAAGATTATCTTGTCGTTCAGTTACCTCATAGAGATCTCTAAGGCTTCTTGTGCGTTGCACAACTCTTTCACTTTGACTCCCACTTGACGATGATGAAGGTGATGAGTCTCCTTGAGTGGTTGATGTTGGTGAAGTGGGTGGAGTTGCAAGCTCTTGTTGAGATTCATCTAGTTGCTCCCTCATTGTCTGCTCATCTTATTCAAACAGAGGAAAGAAATTGAAGTCATCTGTATGAGAGTTAAAATCCCATTCTCCTTCTTCGTTGAAGACCACATCTCGACTAATCACAAACTTCTTATTGTCTGGATTGTACAACTTGTAGCCCTTCGAATTAGCATCATAGCCGATGAAGATAAAACTCTCGCTTTTATCATCAAGCTTCGTTCTTCTCTTGTCTGGTACGTGAACATGGGCTATACTTCCAAAGGTTCTCAAGTGAGAAATGCCAGGCTTTCTTCCACTCCATGCCTCTTGCGGTGTCTTTCCCCATACACTTCTTGTTGGAGATCGATTTGACAAGTAGACTGCACACGATACTGCTTCCGCCCAAAATTCTTTGGGTAGTTTCTTGCTTTTGAGCATGCTTCGTGCCATGTCGAGGATTGTTCTATTCTTTCTTTCTGCCACACCATTTTGCTGGGGGGATCTAGGAACTGTCATTGGTCGACGAATTCCATTTGCTTCACAAAACTCTTGAAACTCCCTGGAAGTAAATTCTCCACCTCGATCGGATCTCATGGCTTTGATCTTTCTACCGCTTTCTCTCTCCACTGCTGCTTTGAACTTCTTGAAGACTTCAAAAACTTATGACTTCTGTTTCAAGAAATATACCCAGGTTTTTCTTGAAAAATCATCAATGAAGAGAAGAAAATAGTTATTGTTACCGAGAGAGCTTGGCTTGATCGGTCCACACACATCGGTATGGATGAGCTCAAGTGGCTTCTTAGCTCTTGTCTCTGACTCCTTTGGAAAGCTTTTCCTGAATTGTTTCCCGACTAGACACCCTTCACAGAGCTGGTCAGGATGGTTGATGTGAGGTAGTCCTTTTACCATCTCCTTCTTAGATAATAGCTCTAGACCTCCAAAATTGAGATGCCCAAATCGAAGATGCCAAAGCCATGATGCATCTTTGTAGCAAGCTTTCAGGCACTTTGCAACATCATTTTGTATGTTGATCAAGAACATTCTATTCTTTGACATCGGCACTTTAGCAATGAAGTTATTCTTATCATCTTTTATAGAAAGATTATAATTATTTATATGAATATCATAACCTTTCTCTACCAGTTGCCCTAAACTTAAAATGTTACTTTTCATATTGGGCACATAGTAGACATTTGAAATAAATTGATGTCTCCCATCTTTCAAACGGATAAGAATGTTACCTCTCCCTTTCACTGCTATTGTGGAATCATCTCCAAACGAAACATTTCCACTTACTGACTCGTCTAGCTCCACAAACATGTCTTTCCTTCCACACATGTGATTGCTTGCACCACTGTCAAGATACCAGGAATTTGCTTGGCCACCATCAGTTTCCTTTCGTGCTAGAAGAAGAGTTTCTTTGCCATCTGTCTTTTCCTCCACGTAATTGGCCTTCTCCTCAATTTTGTTGTTGGGAGCTCTACATTCTGAAGCATAATGCCCAAATTTTTGACAATTATAACATCGAATTTGAGATTTGTCATACTTTGAGTTTGGATTAATTCTTCCACGGCCTCATGTTGAGCTTTCTCCTTTCTCATAGTTATTGTTGGAATTGTTATTGTTGTAATTCCAGCCTCGTCCACGACCTCGACTTCCACCTCGTCCATGGCCTCTACCTCTGCCTTGGCCACGTTGGTTTCTATCATTGCGTTGGCTCTCATGCATATCCTTGAGTTGCAGCTTGAGGAGTTGCTCAGTAAACTCATGCTTCTTTTTATGCTTCTCTTCGTATGCTTGCAATGATCCTTGGAGCTGTTCGATCTTCATTTCTTCCAAGTCTTTAGTTTCTTCAATCGTCACGACGATGTGCTCAAATTTGGGATCCAACGAACGGAGTATCTTCTCTATTATCCTCACATCGTCTAACTTTTCACCATTTCTTTTTAATTGATTAGAAACAGCTACTACTCTTGAGAAATAATCTGAAATAGACTCAGATGCTTTCATGTTTAAGGATTCGAATTCACCTCTTAATGTTTGGAGACGAACCTTCTTCACTTGCTCGGATCCTTTGTAAGAGGTTTGCAGCTTCTCCCACGTTTTCTTGCTAGAGCTTGCACTTGAAATCTTTTCAAAACCATCATCATCTAATGCTTGATAGATGAGGTAGAGAGCCTTCTTGTCTCTCTTTCTTGAATCCTTCAAAGTTGTCTTTTGATCTGGTGTAAAAGTAGCAAAAGCATCATCATCCGCAGGCTCGTTATAGCCTTTCTCTATGATATCCCACACATCTTGTGATCCAAGAAGTGCCTTCATTTTGATACTCCAATTGTCGTAGTTGTTGTTGTTGAGTGTCGGAACTTGGAATGGTGCCATACCATTTGCCATATCTCTCAATATAATGAGATTTTGTAAAATCCGATTGCACGGATGAATCCGGAACGATGAAAAAAAACTTTGGAGGGACTTGGACAACTCGGTCAAGGGCTCCAACTCGGCTGACTCGGCTCAACTCGGTGAGTCAACTCGATTTTCTGGCAGCAGTCTTCCGGCGGTGCGTGGCGGTGCGTCAGAACTCAGATTGAGAAAATTCTGGCGGCGTCGTATTCCTCTCGTCGAGACCTTCGATCTTTCCAACTCTCTCTGATGCCACTTTGTTGGAAATAAAACACTCACACAAACAACTTTTATTGAAACTCAAACAAATATTACAAGAGTACTCTCACTCAAAAACAAGAACTACAACTCACTCTTATAAGACTTTGCTTCTTCACTCACTTAGAAGCTCTTAATTTTTTCTTGATGCTTAAAACTAAAATGGGAAGGGGTATTTATACTACTCAAGAACAATCCTACAACACAAATAAACTAATTTAAACCATTACAAATTCAACAAATATCTAACTCTCACCTAACTAAATTGATGTAAGCAATGACATCATTAATTAAATGATGTAAGCAATGACATCTTTAATTAAATGATGTAAGTAATGACATCAATTTAGTTTGGGTTTGGGTTTAGGCTCCCATAATGGATCAAGTTTATGATCCAACACAATTAGCATCTCGGGAACTCGATCAGAAATGTAAACCTCTTATAAGATTAAGTTACCCCCCGTTGTATGGACACAGACAGCAATGAAAATTATATAAAGGTTGGTATGCTCTTAAAAAGGGTCAATCTTTTGTTTTTAAAGAAAATAACAGAATTTATATTGAACAGAAACAGGTTGAACAGTAGAGGTGCATTTCAAAGAGTAGGTGAAACCGAGATCAAAAGGTGATCCAAGACTGATGGACTACCTGCAGCGCATCTCATGCTTTCCGAAAGGATCTCCAAAATTAAGGTGGCTAACAAGCTCCAACCCGTCATCTGATGCATTTGAACCATACATACTGATAGGGTGAGACTGATTGGTTGTGTCCAACACATTAACGAGGATAGTTTGTTTACTTGCAAGCTGATGTAGCAACTTCTCCACGAGTGACTCAACATCGAAGACTCCACCAAGATACCTGATTGAGAAATGATGGTCTAAAGATAACTTCTTGATAGCTAATGTGATCTACTTATCCAAACCATTAACTAGGCATCACATCAGAGACCTTTTATCAAAAAATAGCTTGTTTCACTTTTTTTCGTCATTGCACGTATTTTGATTTATGCATACGGTCAATTTAGAGTTCTTAAGCTATCAGATTTCTTCTAACAACTTTTAACTGTTTTATGCATGCATGCATGTGCGTTTACAGAGATGGGAAGCTTAAGGCGTTCAGCTTCCTACTAGTATCTTGTAAAATAAAGGGAACATCGGTTAAATATTCCTACTTTTTGTTCACAGTGAAAACATACCCATCAGTTCCTTGAACCCTTTCACTAGGAGTTGCATTCGAGGGAAGATCCCTCTTGTAGACCGCAAATGTCAAAATAACTCCAAGATGATTTGTTTTGAGACCCCCTTTCCTGATTTTCTTTATTCAACCAGTGACAGTGCTCTTGAGAAACTAAAAGTACTTAATTAGGTTCTCGGTGCAACTTTCAGTGCAATTTATCAGTTTTGGGTATGTAAAAAATAAACCTTTTAAAAGAGTAAATCCACTTACCTTTCCCGACAGCAGATCCATAGAAACCACATGTGATATGATATCCTGTGCAAAGATAACAGGCACATATTCTTCCTGAACTGGTGATGGTTCCAAGAGGTCGGGATTATAGTCATCCTTATGAACTGGATTTTGTTCAAGTGTATCCATCCTCTTAATAGTCCAGCCTTGATGACTCTCAAATTGTTCCCTTTCAGAGTGAAGCACCCTTACAGCATATGCCACGCCACTAGTGAGGGGCCTCTCAAAAGGAGTTCGCTCCGTGTACCTCGCAAAAATTGTCTACACATCCATGAAGTGAGCTCCCTTTATGGACTTAAAAACAAGTAATCATAGTACCCACAACTAAAGCCACTTGAATATTTTCCTGTGTAATAAGCTAAAAACAACCGCGTTTAACAATCTGAAGCAAGAATGATTATCAATTTGACAAAATTCTTATTCGATATAAAATTCAAAGTATCGATTTCAGTTGAATTTGAATAATTAAAGACAGTCAAAAACATCAGGTTGGTGTCACATTTCATATAGATAGAGCAAATTAAATTGCCATACAAGACTAGTTCCATTCTAAACTAAGAGCAACAAGATTAATCACTTTGAACCAAGCATACGACAGAGTAAATAAACCATGGCAATCAAGCACAACAAATGCATAATCACTTTCAATCAAGCATGCGACAGTAATTAAGGACAACAAACACATAATATCTCATCTCAACTAGTTCTATAATCCCGACTAAAGGTTACATGGAGAGGAAATAACTTGCCTGATCAATAGCAGAAGGGAATTTGTCATGGTGGAAAGTCGAGATCAAAATCGATATGGCCTGGATATGGTTCATGCTCACATTAAACTGATCCTGCAACATCCGAGCTCTCTCATCGCACATGCTAGCGAGCGTCTCCTTCCTCTTCTCGGTAGCTTGAGAGCTCATATAACAGAAGATCCAAATGGAAACCACAGTCCAACAAATCACCCAGGAAAGCAAGAGCTTCCTTCACCAAGACTCGCTAACTCTCTCGGAACCAATGAACTGGTAGTAACGAGGTGGAGCTTCAAACCACAGTTGAGATTTTATCCCATAATTTGAACCACATCCTAGTACAACCATTATCACCAAGGAGACTAGCCTCGGTGCACTAATTTCTTGTCTTTGACAAAAATGAATTTAATAATTAAAAAAACACGATATTATACAAAACTATAATATAAAATACATAAAAACACTAATTTTCATATATTTGCCACGTAAGCACTACGGGAGCCTTCCCCTGTCTTGCGTCTTATCCTATACTTTCCTCCGTTGTACGCTTGCGGGTGTTCGGCCATTGACCAACGAACAGCCACTTCTTTTAGAAAAACAAAGGATGAAGGAACATGTTCACATTAGAACAAATTTTGGCAAGATCGGTATTTTTATTAAAATTCAAATTTTCTTTGATTAATTATTTAATTTAACATTGATATTTATTTTAAAATTCTATTTGTATTCATTCCATTTAAAATTCTATGTTATTAATATATATGTTTATACTTTTAAGAGACGATCACCCTTCAAATTACCTCGATCCTCCCTTAATCTGATCTTTCTGTAGTTTGCTCGCGAGCGACCGACGTCATAGAACCCTGAATAACCGGATGTATCAGTTAAATCGTATCGTGTTCAGCCTTTTTTTTTTATGTGTAAATCATGGTTGACGATCAGTTTAACGTGTAAAAAGTGAATCCAAAAGAGCTACGACCCGTAGAGTAGATAAAAGAACATAAAGGGCACGCCTTTCCTAACATGAAACTCATCATGACGGGAGATGAACTTGGAATATGCAGATAATGACGGCCACAACACGTGGCATTCATCCAACACTGAAAAAGTGACCTTTCTTTTCTTTTTCTCTCTCTCCTTTTCACACATGGTTGACAATCAGCACCATGGCTGGTGCAGAAAGCACTTGCAGCAGTTTGGTTGGTCATTGTAGTCGCAATCTGCAGGCCAAGCAAATGTGGTAGTTTCAATCATTGTTGTTTCAGTAAAAGGAAAGTGACACTAAGAGGAAGACATCAATCTCCCTATCACAATTATTACATGCAACAAGTGATCAAGTTCATTGGTGAGTGGTGACTGGTGAGGACATTACACAAGCTCCACTCTTTTTGCCCTTTTAGAAATATTCTATATTTTTAAATTTTGTGTATAACTTCTTAAACATATATATATATACGTTATACGTATTCTTCGTTTGTAATTCTGAGAGTAGTAGAATAGTACAAGGGTGGGCATATCTTTATGCACCTTCACCCTACTTTTGCATGTCTGCTAAGCATAATTTAGCATCCATAACTCTTTAGGGACATTATGTATCAATAGACATATCAAAGAAGGTATTATATCAGCAATTTAAATGATGAAAACTTCAGTTTGAAGATTGAAGAGACTAAATTACAAAGTTTCAGATCAATGGGATGAGTTAAAAGCTTTTAACTCAAACTAAGAGATAATTGCTTCATGTTAGATGGATATGTCATATGATAAAATAGTCCCATAGCTTTCATTTGCATACATATGCAGTTCATGAGCTGAGTAGAGCTTCTAGAGAAAGTTATCGAGACATGTATGTATGTATATTCATCACTATCAAATCATGGCAACATGCACCCAACCTCCTATTCCTTTAGGAAATGCTCCAGCTCTCCATTTTCTTTAAAGATATTTGAATTCTACATTTATATTTAACATCTATTATAATTATTGTATGGGAATATGATCTTTCAAAAACTCGACAATTCTAAAAATAAAAAAATAAAAAAATGAATATATTTATCTTATATACTTTTTCATATCTAAAAATTAATATTCCAGTCCAAACAATATAAAAAGTTGGTTTTTTTTTTTGGCCCATTAGGTCATGCGGGTGAAAAATTAGCCAATTAGGCTATCTCCAAAATTATTTTGGGATCTACGGAAAATGTAACAGTGCAAGGCAAACTCGTTACGACCACATGACGAGTTATGATAAAATATAAATTATTTTATTAGATTTTGTGACGTCAGAATGACAAATTTCAATAAAAATATATTTTACACATCATGCCCACGTGATGAATTCTAAACCACTGTAACAACTGTTGTAATTTATAAAATAAAAAATTTGATATCATGTTAAACTAAATAATTTTTAAATATTTTAGATGGCGTTATAAAATATCCGAGACGAAGTTGGCAGGTGCCACTGCATGAGATATACGAATGAGGATCAACATCGTCGGTCGATGTGTGGTATGCATTTGTTCTTTTATTTTTTATTTTTAACTTTATATATACTAACTTTGATATTTAATATTTATAGTTTTCTTAGCTTCCGTATGTTGACGAGGAGATCAACCAGTTATTGTCGGTGCAATATTTTGAGGGGTCTCACTTATGGTGTGTCGTGACGTTGTTATTGTATTATGCGATTGTTGAGTGGTACGTCGCTGATAAAGTGATGCAACAGTTTGCGTCGCACCAGCCAATTCCTACGCAAATGATTGATATGGACGCGTTCCATAGAATTGATACGCGTGAGAAACATAATGAAAATTGGCAAGTGAAACACGCTTTCTACATCGAGCTATGGAATCAACGTGAACTATTGCTCCCCCTGCGTCACGATATTACACCGCTGGACCTAGATTTCGACAATTCTCCCTATCTCAGAAATTACGAAGCAAATGAGAAACCATATCTGACGACACCAGAAGAGAGGAGAATTGGAACATCACTAGGGCACATGCGCCAAGTCCAAGTCCAAGAAGAAAGCGTTGTCATCATATTCCGCTTTAGCATCTACAACTGAAGAGTGTTATTATACATCTCAGTCTAGTTTTGATTTCTATCCTCTATTTCATACTTCAGTCGAGACTCGACCAAATTAAGTTGGAGGTTCATGGGATGCACCGCAATACAATCAAACATCTTCGAAAGAACATGTGGTTGCGGGTGAGTAGGACCATATCCTATATGGTAAACAAATTAGTAGCCAAATCGAATCAGTTACGGCGATGATGGTGTCAAGTATCATACCCCTATCCCCGTATTTTTAAGTTGGATCTCAAAGTACGTTCAGTAAACCTCCTCAGAAAGACGACGAAGATATTCATCAATGCTTACGACCCAACATACTCGACGAGCCCCGTGTCATTATCATTCGACAACTCCTAGACATCGTCAAGAATTTAGAAAATATAGATAAATTTTCTAAGTAATTTTTCTGTAAAAAAAATTATTTTTTTACAATTATTTATTTACTTTGTATTTTTAAAATATAAATAATTTTATTTTTATTATTTTTTAAAAAAATTATCCGGCCGAACTCATCACATCGAGGTGATGAGTTTCAAGTGATTGTTGCTGACTATTGCCCTTCTGCTCGTTGACCAACGGATACAAAACGACTATTTTTTTAATTTGAAGGAACTCGAAGTGCCGAGGTTGTTCGATTTTTTTTAATTTTCTAAAATTTATTTTTATTTTGTAATTTAAAAAATATTTTTTAATGAACTCATTACCTCGACGTGACGAGTCATTTTACTGAGAATAAAATAATAGCCCACATGGAGCCCATCACGTAGGACCATTTAAAATAATATCTGAGGGAACTCGTCATTTCGAGATGACGAGTCCCTAGTGCACTGTAGCAAATGTCGTAGTTTCCAAAATTATTTCGTTGAGGGCGGTGTTGGGCTAAATAAATAATAAACCCGTAAGGCGTAATGGGCCAAAAAAAACCCATGGTGCTCTCCCTTTTGGGCCGACTCAAAAATCGTTATAATATTATAATGTAATTTTTAAAAGTTTAGTGACTAGGATAAAAATTTATGAACTAAAAGTGACTATTTCAGTAGTTTACCAAATTATCATTTCTGTTATATAAAACGCGGATGAATTCGTTTGTCATTTCCTTCTATGAATTTGGGAGATTTTTCGCGAGAAAACTAGAGAAGAAAATCTTGCTCGGGGGAAGAATTAACATATCGTCTGGAATATTCGTACACTTTATCGCTGCAATCGTCCCCGACTGCCTGATCTTGCCGTCGCCATGGTAATTTTTTTGTTTTTCCTCTTTTTTTTTCTTTTTCGAAACTGTTAATTTGTTTTATGATCATCGGGTATCGATTTTCACAATTCTCTTTTATGAATTCATTTTTCCGTTAATCTGCTTGTACCTGAAACGATCTGATCTATATGTGTGTGAGCGCGCGTTTTGATTGTAGATCTCAATTTAGCTGATTTATATGACTAATATTTGATCATGTATGCGTTCAAACTCCATAACATGCGAATAAATTAGCTCGGATAACCTTTATTTAGCTTTTTATTGGATACAAAATTTAATCGCATTATTTCCTGAACTAGTAGTACCTTTCATAGCTGTATCATCCATTTAGAACTCTTGATATGATCAACTGCAGATGGTTAGAACTCTAGTTCATAATTCTCTTTCTTTTCAGATTTCAAAAATACAACTCCTTAAATGAGATATGATTCTTTTTATCCAATGTGAATTGCGATAAACCTTGATTTGATTCAATAGATTTATTTGTATGTACAATAGTAATATGTCAAATTGAATCAAAATAAAAGTATCATAATTTCCTATTAAATTACACCTTGATTTGAAATTCATGTATAGTTTGTGATTTATCTCAAAATTTTGAAACTACTGGTTTTTCATTGTGCATCGAATGCTAAAATTATGACCAAAACACATTTCGCCTTTCTATGGTAGCAAACGAAATGCTTTAAACTTTGTAGGGAAAAAATATTATCCCTTTACATGGTGTCCTTTTTTATATGTGCAGACTACATCAAGGCGCCTTGCAGAGAAGAAGGTGGAGAAATTCCAGAAGAACATAACGAAGAGAGGAGCTGTGCCCGAAACGACCACAAAGAAAGGGAAGGACTATCCTGTGGGACCTGTACTGCTTGGGTTCTTCGTGTTCGTTGTCATTGGATCATGTAAGATTCTCTGCAGCTAATCCTTTAACGATCATATTTCCCTTATATATCCCACGGTAACTTTTTAAAATAGCAAATGCAAGGCTTGAGTTTTGCCATAGTATGGTCAGAGTGCCATTGGTAATGCAGATAGAAAATACATGGCATACTGCGTCTATGCTTATGCCTGTTTGCTGTTTATGCTTGTTTCTTAAGTAAATAGTCTTTATAGCAATAGCTTACCACCAGGTATATATATTTGGCAACGAGAACATCTTGCCCATCCTAAAGATCTACGAGTCTCCGATACGAGTACATGTTGGACACAGTTCCAAGGATCTTTGGATGTTATATCTTTGTATTTATATGTTGAACACGAATGTACAATGCATGTACTTGGAAAAATGAGAAGTCGGAACGATATAACATTTTACTGAAAATTTTCTTTCTTTCATTCTTTATAACAGCTCTCTTCCAGATTATCAGGACGGCGACCAGCGGAGGCTTTGCATAAGCCCTCATAACCCAATTTCAGGAAATTGCCTGGCTTTCTCTTTTAAATTTGGTTATGTAGGAAACATATGATACATTTAGAATTTGAATAAGACCTCAACTACTTGTCTCTTTGTTATATTTTATATGTTATTTTTTATTTTAATGTCTCACTTCCGAATAAGCCACGTTTAGTATTGTCTTCAAAAAGTGTTAAACTATTTTTTATTCTATATATTAATCTATTAAGAAATTATTTATATTTTTATGTTATAAACAAAAAGAATAACGAAAAAAGGGGAAAATAATAAAACTTTCATATAGATAAGCAAATAATTTTTTGATTTTGTTTTAAACTTTTATTATACTAAAATAATTTTAATAAAATACATTTCGCTATGCTTGGATGGTTATGCAGATCTTTTGCAACCAATAAATTTGCGATGAGCTTTGGAAAATGCCAACCGATCAAAATCAAACTTTCATGAACATGCATTAAAGAATATGGGTTTATTTTGGTTTAAAGAACTTCAAGGACTAATTTGAATAAGATATAGTAGCTTAAGGACTTCCTGAATATATAAGCCAATCTAGTTTTGTCCATGGTATGATTAAGAGCAGGAAGGGCCGGGAGTACTCTGGCAACAAATCAAAAATAATACTTAACATTTAACAACACCAACTAGACAAGCTATGGTAATAAATTAGTCATAAAGAGTTGATAAATTAAGGAGATAGCTTATTTCAGTATTTATTCACGTATGTAGTTGGAAAGATATTCGTTGAATTAAATTAATTATTTTCGACTAACAACCAGTTGATCTAGTGGGATGAGACACTAAGTTCCTTAAGCAAAGTTAGGGGTTTGAATCCTGGTGTTTTTCGAATGGAGTAAACTGGGTTGGGAGGATCTCCCTCGCCTCTGCAGTACTCGATCTAGATTAGTCGGTCAATAGATCAGATAACAATGATTAATTCAAAAAAAATTAACTATTTCCGTATATATTATTTTGGTTCGATAAGGATTTATCTGTAAATTATTTTAGTTTGATTAAAGGTTTTTGAATACAGTTTAACTTAATTAACGATCTATCAAATGATAAAATGGAAATAGAAGTGATTGCGAATGATAAAATGGACGGATTTTAAACTAATGGTAGAGATAGTAAAAAAAAATATAAATAGGTTCAGAATCTATTGTTTTTAAATTTAATTTAAAAACAATTTAAATAAAATCAATACCATATTGAACATCAAGAATATCATAATCGTGAGCGTTTAATGTCAATTATCAAATAATTAAGATTTATCTTCGAACATATACTATTTTTAACTTATCCCGGATTAATATAAAAAAGAAGAGTTAAAATAATAACCAAATATAATTAGATTATTTTTATAAGAAAATAAATATTTAAGATAAAAAATGAATATAATATAGATATTTTTATTTAAACGTACAGTAAAAAAGTGTGGACCCCACAGCAATACATCCACCAACCACCAGATGCTACGCCATGAGACAAGGTAAGACTCAAGCATAACATGGGACAGATATTCTATAGGATCATGCTTCCCACTCCTGAGGTGCCCTATAATAACTCCCCCCCCCCCCCTTCTCCCCCAAATTATTATTAATTACATTAGCAAAAAATGTTTAAAATATAAAATAAAATTTAATAATTCATATATTTTAATAATAATATTCAAAGGAATTCATATATATATTACAATTTTGTCAATTTTTAAATTAACTTTAATGATATTGATTATTAATTGATATATTGAGATAAAATGTTAAATTTTTTAAATAACTATAGGGATTTAAATTTTAACATTCAATATTATCAATTATTTTTATAATAAATTTGGTAAGATTTAGTTCAGAATAATCTATAAATAAACTAAATTAGTTACTACAAGTAGTTTAATTATATTAATTATATATGTATATGATGCTCCCAGATCAAATAAAGAAATATATTTATTTTATTTCTTATGTGGTTCGCCTATTCCATAACCTTTCTGTTCTCCTCCATCTTCTATATAAGAAGAGTACGTCAAAATTTAAATCCAGAATTTATTCTTATTTTCTTCATTTAATCAGATTATTGGTTAAGTGAAACAAAGAGAGAATGAACAGAGAAGAGACTGCTAGAAGTGGGCATTTCCCGGCCGATAGGAGATGGATTTTCCCTCTCGTTATCGCCGGCCTCGTCGCCGGAGCTATACTAACCTCTAGTTTCCTAAAAGAAGCCGACTACTCTCTGCTGTGCTCCGTCGCCAACATCAGACCATCCTCTCAAGCAGCCGTAGCTGAAAACTCCGCCACGCCGGTCCAGCTCGAAGCCATCGTCCACTACGCCACGTCGCGAATCGTGCCGCAGCAAAACTTCGGGGAGATCTCCGTTACGTTGGACGTCCTCAAGAAGCGTTCTCCGTGTAATTTCCTCGTCTTCGGACTCGGGTACGATTCCTTGATGTGGACTTCACTCAACCCGAACGGCAACACCGTTTTCCTCGAAGAGGATCCGAAATGGGTCCAGACGGTGCTCCGAGACGCGCCGAACCTGCACGCGCATCCCGTCAAGTACCGTACACAGCTCATGGAAGCCGACCGTTTGCTCTCCCATTACCGCTCGGAGCCGAGCTGTTTCCCTTCGAAAGCTTACTTGCGCGGCAACGAGAAATGCAAGCTTGCCTTGACGGGGTTCCCCGATGAGTTCTACGACACGGAGTGGGATTTAATAATGATCGATGCGCCGCGTGGCTATTTCCCGGAGGCGCCCGGTAGAATGGCGGCGATTTTCTCGGCGGCCGTCATGGCGAGGAACCGGAAAGGTCCCGGTGTCACGCACGTGTTCTTGCACGACGTTGATCGGAAGATAGAGAAGACTTTCGCCGAGGAGTTTTTGTGTAGAAAATTCTTGGTCAAGACCGTCGGTAGACTTTGGCATTTTGAGATTCCGTCCGCCGCTGACATGAGCAGCCACGACGGCGCTCAGTTTTGCTAGAGGCACTCCTTTTCAGCCATGGTTCACTTGTGTCGGAAATTAAATATAGATATTACTTTAAAAATGAAAAGATGAATCTCCATTGATGGAGTGGCATGTTCATGTTTGACCCCTAATAAGCTATTCCCTGCTTGTAAACAAATGCTTGGATCATGGATGTAGATTAAACAACAAGGGTTCACTTAAATAAAATATTTTGCTCAGTTTTAAGTGATTAAATTTGTTTGAAAACTGATTATACTCTGATTTCAGGATTAACTTTAAGGGTGCGATTGGTTCACGGAATATAAGATTATCAGTGGAAATAAAATATTACCAGGGAATAGGATTACTGGGAATGTTGTATTTTGTGTTTGGTTGGTTTAGCAGGAATGTAAGATTACCGTGTCTTTTTAAAGGAATAAAAGACTATTGGAATGTATATTTGACCAAATTGTCCTTATTATATATTTGTATAATATTACAAATTGTAAAATATTTATATATTTTCTTTAAAAAAATTAAATTCATAATATTTATATAATTTTTTTACAAAATTAAAAATATAAAAAAAGTTTAATGAAAGGGTAAATTTTTTTTAACCCCTGAACTTCATATAAAATTTTAATTATAGATTTTTTTTGTAACTCTAAAATAATTTAAGGATAAATTTGTAATTTAACCTTCATATAATTTTTATTATTCAATGACAGAAGAAGTATATTTTTTAAAAAAAATAAAAATTTAAGGGCATTTTAGTCCAAAATGTCGGTAATGTTACAATACCTAAGAGAATGGAGGTAATGACATTCCCGGTAATATACCCAAAAAATCTACTATTGGTAATAAAACATTACCGAGAATGAGATTCCCGGCCAACCAAACATGGGAATGTGAGACCACAATCCTTGATTTGGATGAGGAATGTGAGATTCTATTGGGAATGGAATCTACATTCCCTCGTTTGGTTAGCTCGCGAATCCCATTTTCGATAATGTAAGATTACCAATAGTGGATTTTTTGAATATATTACCGGGAATGTTATTACCTTCTTTTCCTTATGTATTACTGGATTACCGACGTTTTGGACTAAAATGCCCATAATTTTTTTTCAAAAATATCATTATTCTGTCATTGAATAATAAAAATTCTACAAAGGTTAAATTAAAAATTTATCCTTAAACTATTTTAGATTTACAAAAAAAATCTATAATTAAAATTTTATATGAAGTTCAGGGGTTAAAATAAAATTTTATCCTTTCATTAAACCTTTTTATATTTTCAATTTTGTAAAAAAATTATATAAATTTTATGAATTTAAATTTTTTAAAGAAAATATATAATTATTTTTCAACTTGTTAGAAAAACAAATATATAATAAGGACAATTTGATCAAATATATATTCCAATAATATTTTATTCCTATAACCAAACACGATAATCTTATATTCCTGCTAAGCCAACCAAACACAAAATACAACATTCTTAGTAATTCTATTCCCTGGTAATATTACATTCCTACTGGTAATCTTACATTTCGTGAACTAAACGCACCCTAAGGGTAAACTATGTACTTAATACCTAAAATATTAGTTTTGGTATATTTTAATACCTATACTTTCATTTTTCTTAAAAGCATACCTAACATTTAGTTTTTATCTCATTTTAGTACACTGCTATTAAAAACTTAACGCGTTTAGTACCTAAACTATCAGTTTTGGTCCGTTTAATACCTAAATTTTTTATCTTTTCAAAACTTAACTTTAAATTTTAAATTGGTACAAAAATGAAACAAAAACTTAAATTTTCAATGATGGAATACTAAAATAAAATAAAAACTAAAATCAAAACTATCCCTAAATTTTAGGTACTAAATGAGTAATTTACCCGTAATTTATTAGGCCTAATGCAAAAATAAGTAAAGTTAACTTTAGCTGTATATAAAATTTTTCGTTAAAAATAAGTGATTAACGTTTCCAATGTTACACTATCAGGTGTCTATTGTTAAAATCGATCGTTAAGTGACACGTGTAAGGTTTATAAAATTTTAAAATTTTTATGTCTAACACGTATCACTAAATGATTTAATTTAGCATTGGTAATGATCTAGACACATAAAAGTGTAACGTTAAAAGCGTGAAACACTTATTTTTAACAAAATTTTATTTAAATACCTAAAATTAACTTTAAGTATATTTCGAATATTTATTTTTACTGTTGAAGAATCGGGTAAAGAAAACGAAAGAACACGAGAATTTTAACGAGGTTCGACAATGTGCTTACGCCCTTGGTGCCTAGACGACGCTAGAAGTTTTATTAAATATATCTCATACGTTTATGTTACATCTCTGTTTATAATAAAAACCTGGTACATAATTACATAATAAAAACCTGATACATAATTACATAATAAAAACCTGATACATAATTACATAATTAACTCCGCTCTATTCTCTGTCCTTTTTACCGGTATATTTATGAGTTATACCTAAGTTAAATTGTTTTATTATTAGGAAGGTGCTACAGAGATGATCTAGAAAAGTCAACAACATAGCAATTTAATTAAAGAATGATTTAGATAGCTTTAAGTATACTTTCAACATTTGTTTAGGCATGTGCTGGTAGATCCGTTGACAGATTTTTAAATAATAATTAAAGCAGTAGAAAAAAAAAACCCCGGTTCATGTAATTATTATGAAATGGAGTAATAAAGTAAACTCTCATCTTCATTTAGCCCGCAATATACTGCGGCCTTGGTTTGGGCTTGTGTTGATTGAAAGGAAGTTTTCTCATCTTTCTAGAAGGCTTCAACTGTGAAGCCAGTGTTTATCAAGACGAGACAACAAAATTCTTCGTCTAATAGTTATTTTTCCGGTAAATAGTCAATCTAATAGTTATTTTTTGGGTAAACGGTAAATCTAATATTTTTGGTGAGATTACTATTGATTTTTTTTAATAGCACGAGGAGATCATAATATAACTTTTGTTTAAAATCTTTTTAGGTCATTGATAATGCATATGTATCCTATAAACGTGATTGTTCAAATTCGAGATATTTAGAGAAGATAACATTTTTTTTAAGTTTTATACTAAAATAAGAGCCTAAATTATGTTTCTTTTCTCAATTGCCTAAATTATTTTTTGACTCATCTAAGTGTCAAACGTTACCCATTTAGGTGTATGAGCAGTTAACGACGTTAAATAAAATCCTAATTTCTCTTACATTATAGAATAGCACTCAAATCCATAGAATCCTCAAATCCTAACCTTAACCTATCACCCGTCTCTCTTTCCTGCCATGATCATCATCGCCGACGCAGTACTTTCCATCCTCCTAGTCATACGTTACAGTGATTGTCGTCGATTGGCTGTTAAAATCGTGTGAGATCACGATTTTCAACCTAGGGTTCGCGAGGTATAAAGCGTAGATTCGTCGTCGATCGACCACCGGTCGGTCACGATTTCATAGGGGTTTTGGTCACCAAGGGGAGGGGAGGTCGGGTGGAGCTTCACCGATGGCAAAGCGTAGGTTTAGGGCTTGAAGTAAATGTTTTTAAAGTTTTGGGTTTATTTCAAAATTTATGTTTTTTTAAATATATAATTTAATTTTTTAGTTTTAAATAAAAATTTTAAATTTATCATATTGTGTCACTTGTCACTTAACGGAAAAATCAACATCGTTTACTGTCCAAGCATTTAAATGTATAATGTTTGTAACGTTAGACATCTGAATGAGTTAAAACATAATTTAGACACATATTTAAGAAAATTGTATAGTTTAAACTCTTATTTTAATATTTTAATAATCGAGTCAACGGATGAAGCTTTGTATTTTGTATTGCAACATAACAAGGCACGCATGGCGGGGCGGACCAACGACTTGCTTTACGTAATGTTCTTAATGATTAATGCATTAATCCTTCCCAAATAGATTGAATAACAATTATTATAATCGCTATGTTGAAAATCGTGATGATTGTTTAATCACGGAAAGAGTGAAGGAAAGCGGGTATTGTGTATTTGTGAGTGGTGAGTTGGTGATCGAGTCAAGATAGAGTCAAAGTCCATATGATCAAAAGGAAACGTGGGGTCAAATGTTTTAAAAAAAGAAGGTAAAATTGTATATATTGTCAAACGTTAAGAGTATTTGTTTGTATTATATTTTGTTTAATAGTAGAGAGATCTATTTAGTAGAAACTGGACTAATTTGAATAGATTTCTATAATAGAGACACCTATTAGATAGTTTACCTAACGGATTGCTATGTAATGTTTCATGTTTATTGCAGAACTTAGTTTTTTTTTCAATAGGGCAAATGGGTAAATTATTTGATAAAATATGACAAGTAAAAGTTTATTTTGGGACGTACGGTATTTTTTAAAATATTTATGAAATTCGTCACGTCGAAGTAATAAGTTCTAATAAAAATATTTTTTTGTTCAAACTTTTAATAAAATATATTTTTATTAAAATTTATCACATCAAGTTAAAAAATTGAATTTTTTATTAGAATTCATCACATCGACGTGACGAGTTTTATGTTACGGTAGAAAATACTGTAGATCCCAAAATACACTAAATAAAAGGCTCATAGACCGTACTGGGCCAATTTTGTCCAGAGATTAGAGCAATGGACCCTAAATCAAAGAGTTGGGTTGGATCCTCTATTTTCAATTCACTTTGCTATAAAATACCCCAATCCAAACCCTAGATTATAAAAACCAGGCTACTTTAAAACCCTAAAAGACAGGAACCCTATATAAAGTGTTAGATAGTTCGGCTAGTCGGACATCAAAACAACACCTTAGACAGCGCAAGTAACAACCAAATCAGCAGCCATGGTACTGATTTTGCTTCATTAGCTTATACAATTCATATTCTGAACTCTATTTTGTTGTTTTTAAAAAAAATGATATTTATAACATTGAACTCGATTTTATTTTGAATCGTTTTTCAGGTGAAGTATTCGAAGGAGCCTGATAACCCCACCAAGTGTAAGAGCCCACTCTTTACTTTATTCTGGAGGATTTCCCTTTAAATTTTGAATTCCAGTATTTTGGTTTAACAACCAGTGATGTTTATTGTTGGTTTCATGCAGCCTGCAAGGCAAGGGGATCAGATCTTAGGGTTCATTTTAAGGTATTACATCATAATCTAATATAATTTTATTTGCTTCTTGATGTGAAGTTGTGGGTATTGATTTGAGTGTTTATGAGATCCAGTAGATCATCGTGTGACACTGATAAATGTATATTAGCTTTGAACTGTAGCTTTGTTGGAAGCATCTGTACAGTTACTGTTATCATGATTAATAATTCAATGCTGCTGTGCAACTTCTCTCTTAATTTCTTTAAAATGTTCATTTTTTTAAAATTTAGGGAGAATTCTGAATTGGTGTCGTTTATGGCTATACCTTTTTTGTCTTGTTATTTGCGTTTTAAACCTGAAGTAAAAGAAAGGTTCTTGTTTCCTTTTGTGAACGAGATTCTTATAAACTTCATGCAAATTTGCTTTCATTGTTATTGGGTGAACCTCTAGACTTTCTTGGTGAATGAAATGATTGAAGGTTCAGTAAATGATGCCACACATCTTCCAATTGTTTTGAAGGAACTTGTTTTGTTATGATATTGGAATGAGTTCTTATGGTATCGGTTTCACGATGTTTGCCCATCTTGTGCTATTCTTGCTTGCTTGTGGTAACTAATGAGTTGTTTTTGATGGCATTGTTCTATAGAACACTAGGGAGACAGCTTTTGCCATAAGAAAGTTGCCTTTGGTTAAGGCCAAGAGGTATTTGGAGGATGTTTTGGCCCACAAGCAGGCCATACCCTTCCGACGCTTTTGTCGTGGTGTTGGACGTACAGCTCAGGCAAAGAACAGGCATTCCAATGGACAAGGTCGTTGGCCTGTAAAATCTGCCAAGTTCATCCTGGATTTGCTGAAGAATGCCGAGAGCAATGCTGAGGTATTCCTATCCTGTGGATTCAGTTTTTAACAGCTTTGTTGCACACTTCCATTTTCTAACAATATTAAACTAATTTCGCAGGTTAAAGGTTTGGATGTCGATGCACTCTATATTTCTCATATCCAGGTAAACCAGGCTCAGAAACAGAGACGTCGAACCTACCGTGCTCATGGAAGAATCAACCGTACGTAATCAAATCACGACTTAATTGTTACCTTGAATCTACTTTGTTTTCTTATATTCTTATGTTAATGGTATCATTCTTTTTGCCAGCTTACATGTCTTCTCCATGCCACATTGAGTTGATTTTATCCGAGAAGGAAGAGCCTGTCAAGAAAGAGGTAATTTAGTTAATCCCCCTTATTCTTCCATTCTCTTTGAAGTACTCGTCGTGACATCGACGTATTCAGACTTGGGTATAAGGATATAAAATCCGACATTCACACTGTAGTCCAAATAACGAAGATTCAGTTTACATTTCTATGAATGTAAACTACACTTTTCTTTTGTAATTAAATTGATAAAATCTTTGTTTCCTTTCAGCCTGAAACTCAATTGGCAGCGAGCAAGTCCAAGAAGTCCAGCGGTGCTTCCTCTTGAGTCTAAAAGTTGCCATATTTTAGCGAGTGAAAGGAGTTGGTTTGATACATTTTGCTTTTGAGGAAGCTTTTTGTATTTTTCAAAATAGAATTGAGTTGTTATCTATATGTGATTTGGATTTTTTGCTTATTTTAAAACCATATTTAGTCTTAATGTTATCTCAGATTTATGTTGGTCATCTTTATGTGATCTTTTAAATGATCAATCTTTGGCCTGCCCTTTGCATTGTTAATGATTTAGAAATTATGCACATAAAATGCCAATTAAATTAAAATGAAATGATTATCGTAATGTTGATCAATTGAAATGATTTAGAATTATTATTTTATCTTGCAGATGTAACCGCTTAAACTTAAAATCTAAAAAGAATAATATTTCTTTTATTAAGGAGATTGTTGAATAAATTTAGGATAAAGCTAATACAAATTATTCATAAATTTGATATATTTTTTCCCGAATTTGCTCCAAAATTTATATTTTTGATTATAATAAAATTTTAAGGTTATATCATTCAATCAATTGAGAATTGTAGAATATATATTTATTTTTAATAATATTTTGATGCACACATTAAGGTTTTTTAGTGTCAACGAATTTGTAAATCTTCAATATTATGGACTAAATGGGAAGAAGTAAGCTACATTTAATTAATTTAAGATTTTTATATCACCGAATTAATTAATTTAAGATGCAATTACGTTATTCACAATTTGATCCAACGGCTGTCACACCATTCTTGCTTTTGATCGTGGGGCCATGAATTATCGTCTTCCCAGTATATAAAAAATTCTTTTTCGTTACCGAATTTCACTTTCAGGCATCTTCTCGTTCTCTTCGCTTCTTCACTTCACTTTGCGGTAGGTTTTCACTCTTTTTGCTCTTTCATTCTATAGTAAAATTGAAGTTCTAGGGTTTATGCTTCCTAATTGATTCACGCTTTCCCCCTCCTCCTCTTTAAATTTTCTGATTTGATTATGTTTTTGCTTGTTGATCAAAATTTAAAATTACGACGAAAATAAAGGAAACCAATTATAACCTTAATATTTTGGCCATCGATTTTTTAGTTCTTGATTTCCGATCTTCTTATTGCGAGTTTCAATGTTTACATTGAACCAAACATCTTCTAGGGTTTTAGGTTATCGATCTTTGATCCCATATCACAGTCAATGCTCTCTAGGATTTACCAAAAATGGAACTTAGAGGAACCGATTTGGGGATTGGATTCATGTGTACAGAAAAAATTGCATATGATAGGTATAGATGCCTGTTGTAGTAGCAGAATCGGAAATAAACGAAGCAAAGATTTATGCCATGTTTCTCCGTTGGCAAACTAAAAAAGCTAATTCAGTAGAAATTTTACCGGGGGCTAGTAATAATGTTTTTTTTAGTTTGAATAGTCTCGGGTATTATAATGTAATATTTGTTTAGAATCTTTCTTAGCCACTGATAAGGCACACAAAATCTGTAAACGATTCTGCTTGAACCGGGACCTCTAGTAAGAACAACACTTCCTTGTACAACTGAGGTCTCTTTTAGGGATTTTTTTTTGGTTCACTAGAGTTTGGCTTATGTTGTTGAATTGTAATGTTAGATGGATTGGCAAGGGCAGAAGTTAGCAGAGCAGATAATGCTGTTGTTGTCGGCGGTGATTGCATTCGCCGCAGGGTATGTGTTGGGATCGTTTCAAATGATGATGATCGTATATGCGGGTGGCGTGACTCTCACCACATTGATCACTGTTCCAAATTGGCCTTCATTCAATCGCCACCCAGTCAAATGGTTGGATCCCATTGAAGCCGAGAAGCATCCCAAGCTGCAGATGGCTGTGAGTTCGAAAAAGAAAGGCTCCAAGAAGTAAGGTCGTTTAATTTGATCTTAGCACCATTTGAGTTTGATTAGGGGACTGAAGCGATGTTTTCTTCTTTTATGTGCTTTGAAGGATACCAATAATCTACTTGATTTCCCTGAATTTTTTAAACTATGAAACAATTAATGGAAGAGTGTTCTTCTTGAAGCATACAATAACAGGGTATTATAGATGTTTTTTATGGGGACAATTCTTCCAATTCGGCTTATTTTATTCACATCATGATTCAAATAACCCGAATTCCACAACTTAATTTCAGACATAAAATTTGTATAACCTCCGAACATCAGAAGTTTTAGATAAAAATGATGACGACAATACTAATAATCTTGCCTTAATTTAGGGACCGATGAGAATCAACGTAGGTGTCTTTTGGAGTCGTTATCCAAAAAGAATGTTACCGTTGTCGAATGAGAGTTATTTAAAATCAGCTTATCATGTAGGAGTCAGCACGTAATGTACCCATCTTATCCAAATCATGACTGACGTCGTCACGCGCTGTCTCTTCCATCTTCACCGCTATATTTATATTAATTTCTTATAAATCCTCTTACATATTCCGAAAAAACACTTGTCTGTATTTTTGTTTTGTCTGTACATAAAAATCTTAGAAAGAAAAATGACTGGTTTTGAGGGAGGAAGCAAGAGGACCAAAGGCTCTAATGACTGTCTTACTTCCCTGGATAACGGCTATAAATTTGAAGGCATCCCATTGCTTCCCGATCTTCCGGATGATGTAGCCAAGTACTGCCTTGCTCTCGTTCCTCGTTCGAGCTTCCCGGCCATGGGCGGCATTTGCAAGACGTGGAGATCGTTCATTCAAAGCAAGGAATTCGTACGGGAACGAACGTTGGCGGGGGTGCTTGTGGAGTGGCTTTATGTTTTGACTGTGGATTCCGATGGAAAGGATCGGCGGTGGGAGGTTTTTGATCGTTTGGGACATAAACGTCAGCTTGTTCCGCCCATGCCTGGGCCTGTAAAAATGGCTTTTGGGGTGACAGTCGTTAAAGGAAAGCTTCTTTGCATTGCGGGCTACTCAGTCATCAATGGGGTTGCTTCTGCTTCCCCGGATGTTTACCATTATGATCCTTTCCTCAACAGGTTTGTTTATAAACCCTAATCATAAAATATCCTATATTCAATTAGAATTTGAGCCAATATTCAATTGCAGATGGAGTAAGTTAGCAGACTTAAACGTTGCTCGTGCCGATTTCGCCTGCACGGAGGTAAATGGCATGGTTTATGTCGTCGGAGGGTACGGTGTTGAAGGCGAAGGCCTCTCCACCGTTGAGGTGTACAGATACAGGTAAATGAACTGTTATCGAGAGCCTCCGTCGACCACGGTGGGGCTGCTTTGCATGCGGATTGAATGGGAAACTTTACATCTTTGGTGTAAGGTCGAGCTTCACAATCGAAAACTCAAGGTTCGTTAATGTTTACGACCCTAAGAAGCGCCGCTGGTGCGAGATGAAGAAAAGCGGTTGTGTCATTGTCACCACACGTGGTGGTGGAGAAGAAGCTCTTCTGCATAGAGTGGGAGAACCCGTGGAAGGTGGCAATATTCGACCCGGATAACGGTTCATGGAAGAGGGTTCCGGTCCCATCGAGGGGGACCACGAGTGTAGGGTTCCGATTGGGGAACGAGGGTGGGAAGCTTCTACTTTTCACGGCGGAGGGTGATCAAACAGTGGTGTATGATCCGAATGCAACAGCGGGTTCAGAATGGCAGAGTTCGAATATAAAGCCTTCGGGTTTATGCCAAATATATATATAAACTCTTTTAGTTTTATATCTTTTTAATATTATTAAATGAGATAAATTAAAGACTGATATTAATAATTGAAAATAAAAAGATATTCACCGAAAAAAAATGCTATGTAAATAAATCATTATATATATATTTGATACAAAACAATTTAGGTAAGAGATGATTCCCTCCAATCCAGGCCAAGACATATCTAAGAAAAGCTCAAAGCTATATAAGGCAAAATCTACGCGTAATACTTGTGTGTTTATTCACAATTGGAGAAGAAGTGGGAGTTTAAGGTGGGACTAGGTTAGTTTATTGGTGCTCATTGAGATGGACAAGTTGCCCGTCTAGCTCAGTCGGTAGAGCGCAAGGCTCTTAACTTTGTGGTCGTGGGTTCGAGCCCCATGGTGGGCGATTTGTTTTTGCTTTTCCGATTTGTTAATTTTTACGAATTATTGGTTGAGTTGGATCAGAGAATTATGGTTCTCTCTCAATTTCTTTTCTTTTCAATTGTTCATTTTCCGGTTTTGCATTCATAATGAAGCTAAGGTATGGTCTTGAAGAAAAAGGTGAGTTCATTAAATCCGAGGAGTGGTATTGGAGACATCTCTTTGGCGTTGTTATATGGAAGCTGTGGAAGAACCGGAATGAATTCGTCTTCAATGGGAAGATCCGAGCAGCAATGGACATTACTCACGAGACCAAAGTTTGGGCGAGGACGATCATGGAAACTCTTCAGCGTACGCAACACAACAAAGCGGCCAAGGAGCCGAACACATGGAAGCCTCCCCCTCCTGGTACCTTCAAACTTATTACGGATGGCGGGGTGCACCCCTCGTCGATTAAAGCATCAAGTGTTTGTATCATCCGGAATACAAATGTCTATTGGATCAAAGGTTTATCGGATGTTCGACCGTTTTACAGTCGGAGCTAAGGGCAACTTTAGAGGGTCTCCATATTGCTTGGAAACATGGTATTCGAAACCTGGAAGTAGATTCCGATAACGCAGAAGCTGAACGCTTCCTTAATTCCAAGGCCACTCCTCATGACTCAACTATTGCTCGAAGAATACCAAGTTGCATTAATCAGGCCCCGTCTGAGTTAACACTAGCATGTCTTTGTTGGAAATAAAACGCTCACACAAACAACTTTTATTGAAACTCAAACAAATATTACAAGAGTACTCTCACTCAAAAACAAGAACTACAACTCACTCTTATAAGACTTTGCTTCTTCACTCACTTAGAAGCTCTTAATTTTTCTTGATGCTTAAAACTAAAATGGGAAGGGGTATTTATACTACTCAAGAACAATCCTACACCACACAAATAAACTAATTTAAACCATTACAAATTCAACAAATATCTAACTCTCACCTAACTAAATTGATGTAAGCAATGACATCATTAATTAAATGATGTAAGCAATGACATCTTTAATTAAATGATGTAAGTAATGACATCAATTTAGTTTGGGTTTGGGTTTAGGCTCCCATAATGGATCAAGTTTATGATCCAACACCCTCCCTTAAACTTGATCTCGTGACCCCTAGTAGGTTCCTTAATCTTAAGAAGTCTTCGCTGGTCAGTGGCTTGGTAAAAATATCAGCAACTTGATCTTGTGACTTCACATATTAACTTCACATCTTTTCTTGCAACACACTCCCTTATATAGTGGTAGCGAATATCAATGTGCTTGCTTCGATCATGGAATACTGGATTCTTCGCTAAGGCAATGGCTGACTTGTTGTCGACACAAACCTTGGTAGGCTTCTTGTATCAAACCAATCTCCTTCAATAGATTTCTAAGCCAAATTGCATGACAAACACATGAGGTAGCAGCAACATATTCCGCTTCACAAGTAGATAATGTGACAATCGGTTGTTTCTTTGACACATGTGAATGCAATATCTCCCATGAAAAATACGAATCCAGTAGTGCTCCTTCGATTATCTATGTCTCCACCCCAATCACTGTCGCTATATCCAACAAGCTTGTAATCATTAGAAACTGAATAGAAAGCCAAAGTCAATTGTACCTTTCAGATAGCGAAGAATTCTCTTTGCGGCTTTAAAATGGGTGGTTGTTGGGGATTCCATGTAGCGACTAACCAATCCAACTGCGTGAAGAATATCGGGTCTCGTGCAAGTTAGATAGCGTAGACTTCCTACCAAACTTTTGAAGAATGTTGGATTACACTTTCGCCTTCTTCATGTTTGGTCATCTTGATCCCGTATTCTGCCGGTGTGCTTATTGGCTTACAGAAAATTCCATCATTTGTTGCTTAACTTCAATGCCAAGGTAGTACGCCATGAGCCCCATGTCTGTCATCTCGAATTCTTTCATCATCACATCCTTGAATTCATTAAACATGCTTGGGTTGCTTCCAGTGAAGATCAAATCGTCCACGTAGAGGCACACGATCAAAATATCTTCATCTTTGATCTTGATATATAGAGCATGCTCTGTTTTTGAGCTGCCAAAGAAATGATTAGTCTGATAGTCTCCAATCGAGCAACAGGAGCAATACCTCATCATAGTCAATTCAGCCTTTTGACTATAGCCTTTAGCAACTAGCCTCGCCTTGTGCCTTTCAATCTCTCCTTTGGCGTTTTGCTTTGTTTTGTACACCCATTTGACACCTATCGCCTTATGTTCCTTGGGAAGTGAGGTAAGTTCCCATGTGTCATTCTTCTCGATGGCCTTGATTCTTCGTCCATCGCATCTCTCCATTTCTTTTCTTGTACCGCTTCTTGAAAGCTCACTGGTTCACAATCGGCAAACAGACAAATAATGTAAGATTATCTTGTCGTTCAGTTACCTCATAGAGATCTCTAAGGCTTCTTGTGCGTTGCACAACTCTTTCACTTTGACTCCCACTTGACGATGATGAAGGTGATGAGTCTCCTTGATGGTTGATGTTGGTGAAGTGGGTGGAGTTGCAAGCTCTTGTTGAGATTCATCTAGTTGCTCCCTCATTGTCTGCTCATCTTCTTCAAACTGAGGAAAGAAATTGAAGTCATCTGTATGGGAGTTAAAATCCCATTCTCCTTCTTCGTTGAAGACCACATCTCGACTAATCACAAACTTCTTATTGTCTGGATTGTACAACTTGTAGCCCTTCGAATTAGCATCATAGCCGATGAAGATAAAACTCTCGCTTTTATCATCAAGCTTCGTTCTTCTCTCGTCTGGTACGTGAACATGGGCTATACTTCCAAAGGTTCTCAAGTGGGAAATGCCAGGCTTTCTTCCACTCCATGCCTCTTGCGGTGTCTTTCCCCATACACTTCTTGTTGGAGATCGATTTGACAAGTAGACTGCACACGATACTGCTTCCGCCCAAAATTCTTTGGGTAGTTTCTGCTTTTGAGCATGCTTCGTGCCATGTCGAGGATTGTTCTATTCTTTCTTTCTGCCACACCATTTTGCTGGGGG